GCTTTATCATGAGTACGTTTATACTTAGTTTGAATTTGAAAGATGCTTTATAAATATCAAAGTTGTATCGCAACAGTGCATCCTTAGATTAAGTGCAGTGCTTTAGTTACAGTAAAACTGAGACAGCATAGTTAAACAAATAGCCAGTACATCATTTGTTGCAAGCAGTTCGCGAGCCGCGGCGCGGGTAATAGCTGTGCGGTGAGCGCTGTCTTACGGACTACGCAGCTCGTTACTACACTCAAACTGTAATTGAGAGAAAATATATAATGATTACTTTATTATATACTTACTTGCTATGTACCTGCCTACCACCGCGTCGCTAAGTTATTGAGACGCTTGGAGGGACGCTTGTTATGACAGTACTGACTTTTCAGCTTGGCAGGTACTTGAAAATAATCAGCTTTCGATGAAATAGTTCATAGAGTCTGTAGATACTGAATAGATATTGGAAACGATTTGTAATTGTATATTGTTTGTGAGATGAGATAGAATGTACGAATGTGATGGAAGTTAAAGAAGCTAGGATCGGTCGACTTCCATGGGACAAAGACGTTTATGTTTGTATTTTATGACTTCTAGTATTGTGATCTCCTTGAAAATACTCTCGAAGTATTCTCGGAGGAAATATCTTTCACTGCGAGAGCTTTTATTATTATTTCAAGATGATTGGAACACGAAAAAAGCTTGCCCTTGACTGTTACTCAACATGCTACAAACTCATAGTTGTTCGTTATTTCTAGCGGCTATGTGTCGCAACCCGACCTCCGACTGACAACCGCTTGACAGATGTTCTGTTTGACAGGCTAACTGACCGTGTGTAGCGTGTCTAGGTCATAGGGCTTACGATGGGTTCATAAGAGATAGATAATGTGTAATATAACTAATTCACTTTCAGGAAACTGATTGTGATTGATTCAATCTGTTTGTATGTCGATGTTTGTGGGCGACGAACTAGTGACCAGCGCATGAAATAGTATAGTTTTGTTTACGTTATAGGAGATTTCATAGAGGTTTTTAGCAAATCTGTATCCATTGAAGTCTCACAAATTACTCGGTGAGATCTAGGGTAATATGAACGATCTACTCGAAATTATGACATCTTGGAAAAGTGAGTAAATGACGCCAAACCTAACAATTGGCAAAAGTTTGTTCAATGAACATTCATTAAATTCAAAGTTGTATTATTTATAGCGATTCTAATTAAAAATATTTATTAGTTATTTCAGTTTTAAAGTTCAAAGTCCGAGAGAGAGCTCGCGTGACGTCAACGACGGATTTTAACGACCGACTGAAAAGTAGGAACTCCACACGACATTCACCAGAAAATTAAAACATCATGCAAAAACAAATAAAATCTTAATGTGAATTTAGGATTTATATTTTTATAATTGTTCATACAAGTAAAATGTGAACTCACCACAAACTGTAGAGCTGAAAATTGTTGCAAATCCTGAATATATTGACAGTGTCACTGTGTAGGGTCTACTCCGGTGTAGTTACACGCGGCAGGTACTACTTCACTACTCGCTAGTTCTTAGACCATAATATTATGGTTTATTTGATAGTTTGCATGGCATGTCGGCTGCGCGTGCGTGGCGTGCGCGGGAGCCGGGGACGGACTGCGCGCGCGGCCCGCTGTGACGTCAGCGAGCCAAATATAGTGAGGTGAACACCACACGCTATTTTCACCCCCACGGAACGTTATCCAGAAGTGCTTAAAGTTATTTTTTCCATGAAACGCGATGTGAGTTAAGGCATTAAGTAGTGTATGGTGGTGAAATGTCGGGCCGGGCGTGTTATTTTTGCATAGGATTTTCATCGCTTTCCGCGCTAGAACGCGTGGCTTAAAACGGCAATAAGGCGGCGCTTGCGCATCTGCTTCGGCAGCTTTTGTTTACTAGAACGGCGCGCGGTGCGGTTCGTAGTAATGTGTATGTGGGGTACTGGGCTAATACTTCCACAATATTTGGACCACACGTGGGCTTATATTATATTATGTCAGCGTGGGAAAGCTTTAACTATCACAAATTGTTACCTCTACAAAGTCTAGCACTCAATGAGCTGAGGAGGATACTCAGAAGAGAAAATGATAAATTGTATAAACATTTTCGTAAAAATCGCTTTACTGAAATATTGAGACCGAGTATTTATTACACACTTTCATTCATTTTTCAATAAAACTTATTTGTATCATACAAATCTTTTTCACAAAATTTTCTAGCACTAACGTGTTTATTTACTCCGGACATATGTAAGTAGTTATGTTTCAGTGAGGTAAACAAAGATCTACGTTATGACTAGCAATCATTGTGAAACCTAGGGTTAAGTTTTCTAATTTTTAGTCTCAAATTAGACTTCATATGCAGTAATAACATACTGAAGATCTATTATCTTAACAGAAACTCATTTGCCTTATTAATACTTTTCCGAGAAAATTCCAGGAAAAGTTTCAGTATTGGTATACGTCACTGACGGCGGCATATGTACCGATGTATATGTACAGGGCCGTCTGGTCAGAGTGTGAAGTAGCACTTATTACATTACACTAACATTGCCCCACATTACAGGTACACGGAGTTACGATAAACAAACGGCAGCGCGTGCGCACACCACGCGTGCGCTCTGCGCGTGTGCTGCGCAGATGTACAACATACATCACACCCTTATTTATCATCCACATGCTTCGACATCCTTCTTTGTCATTGCCCCTATAAGGAGTTTTGATAGAAAGTAATTTTAGTTCGATTCTAGGGCTGACAATATTTTGATCAATGTTTCGTAGCAAACTGCTACGCCGTAGACGGTGTACACGTTGGCTTGTGTTTACTGTTTGTCAATATACGATGATTGAACGTAAAAGTACCTACTGCTCGTCATAAACGATGGAGTACACAGATTTGCAAAATATGTCGATTGTACAATGTGAAATGTTTCCAGTCTCGATGTGATTTTTGTGAATTTCAAAATACTGATAAATAATAAATATTGAGCGGGAGTCGTATTTAAGACTTTGACTGCCAATAAAAAATGTTGAAGGTAATCTATAAATTCAGATATAAATAAATTTTATGATATATATATATTCATTAATAATGAAAATAAAATTAATTTAAGTAAATTATATAATAATCAAACATTTTTAATTATAATAATATTAGTAATTTACTTATTTATTACATTAATTGCTATTGTAAAAATTACTAATATTTTTTATGGACCTCTTCGTTCATCTAACTAATATAAATGATAAATAAATTTTTACCAATTCGAAAATCTCACCCAGTATTAAAAATTATTAATGGATCATTAATTGATTTACCTTCACCTTCTAATATTTCTATTTGATGACGCTAACGCCGGTCACCGGTGACCCCCATGGCGTTTAACGTGTTAAGTATCGTTCGTTTTGACAATTATTTTCGTTTCGTAGTTGTGCTACGAAATAATACGACATTGTAGTCGATTTTATTGAAGTGGTCAGAATCCACCAACAACATACAAATTATCGCGTAACCTGTCGCCTGTTGACACATGTTGACAAACATCAAGTCCCCTTTACGATAGTCTTGCGAAATGCAACCTTTTAATGTTTATTTTATTATTTGTAATTAATTTCGAATAGGTTTGGGTTATGGTTATGGGTTTATTACCGTGTCATTGTTTTGGCTCACACTAAATTATTGGAAACATGCGAAAATAGTCATGTTACATTTTGCACATCCATATTGTTAATTACAGTGCGTTCTTTTTACTCAGCCCCACAGATCTACAGCTGCCAATCACAAGCCGTTACATTGCATTAAAAAGCCATCATTAGTTCGCCATTAATGCGCGTTTGAAATAAATAAATAAATCAAATCTGCGCGGGCGCATACATGCGCGTGATTCATGCGCGTCTCGTGCCAACCGCACTGCACACGATACTGCAGTTGTGCCGCAGTACCCACTCGCACTAGAAAGTTTACATTATTCTATATTTTACTTTACTTAAGTCTTTTATATGATGCTGGTTATATGAAGTCGTTTATGTACTCGTAGCTCATATAAATAATGGTCAATTTTAATAGTTTAACAATAATTTGGTGCAATACGGTAAAGAATCCATTGTCAATAACCGGGCTTAGGTTTAATCTACTGAAAAACTGCATACCTACTAGTTATATTGACATTGAAACTTGAAATTTTCTACATATACATACATAGGTATAATCATTCCCGTGTCTTGCACATCTTGATATTTCAAGTGCCATACAAAGTGAGACTTCTGTACTGTATTTATTTAAAGTATACATTAGCAGTGCAGCGGCGTATTCAGTGTAATATTGTATCGGATTAACACCTGCCCGGCTACCGGCTGTTACCCGGTTACATTATAAGAATAGGAACAGCACGACTCTCCCGGGTGACGCTATAACTCGGTAGTTAAGTTAAAATCAAAACATTGAGGACTTTATTACAAAACAATATAGTTGGAAATCTATAGCACAATTTAAAGAGGTTTAGCTTGACTTGTTGGCGTCTACAATGCTGTGGCTTTCCGTAATGTTTACAAACAATTGTAAATATGTAACTGTTCTAATACAAGTCATACGGTTCGTATATCTTAGGACACTGTGTCTGTCTAACGTGTTTTTTATCATTTAGTGTGCTACCGCGAAAATTTCTGTAAATATGTATATTCTGTATGTATGGTCGATTTACACCTACCTGTTACTTAGTAAATACCAAAGTAGTTTTTGCTAAAAATAACATTCAATTTAATTTTGTAGTTTTCGCTTTCGAAAATCATAAAATAAGTTAAAGTAAGATTTTTCACGACGACGATGAAAAACATCAACTTCAGCACGGACCTTCTTCCCATTATAATAATTTCTAATTCGTTGATATAATTTTATGACAGCACATTCAAAAGCTCTTTTCGCCAAAACACATTTAATCACGTCAAAATTAATGATTTAGTATCTACTGACAGCATCGGTGTAGCGTGTGTGACATACCTGTTTGACGACGACCTTGCCGGTGGGTTTCTCCGTGACGTAGTTCTGCATGCCAGCCATCAGCACGGTGGCGCCGAGGAACTTGTTCAGCAGGGCGCGCGCCTCCGTATCCTCCGTCGTGTCACCCTCCTGGATCACTGGGGACAGAGGGGACTCTTTAGTAAGGGAAGTAGATTTTAAGAAAAAGTAGGTAGACGTTTAAGATTTCTCCTACAAGTGGTATTGTCTTGTAATTACTAACGTAGGAGGGGGCAATGACCGCAAATGGGACACAAACTATACACCCTAATTATTTTTACAAATAGATAGTGCAATCTAGCTCACTGAAATTGTTTCATTTAAATTGAACCCCTAGTTATTTGATTACCTAATCAACAAGCAAGTACCGTATAGATACCGATTAGTGTTGATTAAACCATAAATAGCACTTAGCAATAACTGTACGAATATTTTATTGTAACGTGAGCTCTACTACATTTTTTCTAGTACACATCTCATTCCACATCGTCTTATCGAGGCGAGCAGTGGAGCATGTGACGCGCTACTGTTAAACTCCACGGTTTGTCTGTTTGTTCCACTGACCAACATCAGTGCTATGTGGCGGGTGACGACTGGTGACAGCATACGTTATGAGATCAGTAACATGCGACTAATCAAACATTCATAACAGGACACATTTGACCGCATATTTGATGCCTTGGCGGAGTCGCATACTCAAGTATGTACCTATGTGTACAATTTCCATTTTATTATTTCGACTGTAGCGCTACCTTAACCAAGGGTCATACTTATGTTTGATATCCAACCTAAAGAACTCCATTGAAGACTATCTTACAGCGAGATATAAATACTAATTGCAAAGCAAAGAATGGCGCTTTATTTTTAATTTGTTTTACTTATTATTTTTTCAACTTTATTTGGCGAGTTCCCAGTCTGTTACAGATCTACGATGTCGAAGTGATCTCACTCAAATATACATACAAACAAACACTTTAATGATTAGGTAGGCGTATAGGAAGTGAGTGCGTCTGCCAAACATGAGTAATGACAATATCATCGGAGTGTTGTACAACTACGGGGACTGACAGATGTTACTTAGCTGTTGGCAGCCTGTGTGGGGTTTCATTGACTTTCCACCAGCCAAGCTGCCAAGAGGGGCTTGTAATGAAATAGAAAATTAACTTTTCCTAAATGAAAGCTGCTACGTAATACTACAAATCGAAAGCCCAAGACATTGACGAAAGTATAAAAAAATGAACATTCTCTAAGACAAAATTCGTGATTGTGTAAAACAATTTTGATTACGATACATTTCGATACAAGGCGCAGAATTCAGTTCCTATTCTGTAGTTAATATTGATCTAATTCTGCTGTCGTATCCAGTGGACAATACCGTAACAGAAAGCTGCAATAAACAGATAGACATAGTGTAAATAACAAACGAACCTATATCAGCGTTCTTCATCCTGGTGAGTATGTCCTGTACTCCTGTGACCTTGGTATTGCTGTCGAGGAAGGACTTCTCAGGCCGGGAGTGGTGCGTGGTGGAGCCGTGGGTGCGAGTGGTGGTGGTGACCGTCCGGACCCCGCCGTCCACCCGCTCCGACGTCGTCACCACCGTGTCCTCCACGGAACCCAGGCTGTGCTCGCTGTCTGTGCGGGTCAGACCTGTGCGAATGCATAATTTGGTTAAGAATACAAAATGTGTTCAACAAACGACAATTATGGTTTTAGGGCTTTGATAAGATTCTTGATTGTAGCGTTAATTATGTACCAAGATATTAATTACATTAGATGTTTGTTACAGTACCTAATGGCTAAAATTGATAGTTGTTTTTAACAACGTTGCTTTTAAAAAACTAATCTAATATACTTGTTCTGCTATCTATAACGCGCTGTGACGAACACAAGTAATATAAACTCGTAAATAGAATTAGATTAGTTCTGACATAAAATTAAAATGTCCTGTCCTTGAAACACTTGCATTATACAAGTTCTATAGTTTTTATAACGATAACTTCTTGCCAAATAATTAGATGCAAGTAGAGCGGGTATTTCAGGCCAACATTACAAGCACATACTTATGTATTACCTATGTATGTTACACTTACCTAACAGACTTAGCTATAATATAATTAAATACACAGATATTACAAGTACTTAAGCTACCTAAAATTCACCGCTCAAACTCATTCGTAAACTTAAAGAAATTGATTGAAGCTGTCCATTGCTGTAATACCATTTTAGAACATTTTAAAATAATAAAGCGGTCACTATTGGTAGGCTGTGGAGTGCATGGCTAGTGTAGTGGCTGTTGGGTTGCAGGTTCGATTCGAACTTCAATTCTTCTTGTGATCCGTCGATAGTGGGTATAAATAAAGTAAGTATATTACATTTGAAAAAAACAGAACACCCACGACATAGAACTTAGTTGTAAGACTAGCAACAAGTAGTAGACTGACCAGCATGTGCTGAGGAGTCGCTGGAGACGCTGTCCTTCATGGTGGAAGTGCGCAGAATCAGGCCCGCCTTCGGGTAGGTGGTGCGTTCTGCCTTGCTGCTCTCATCTATGGGAATATTGCATTATTGTAGTATATTCTAGTTATAACGTCCAGTTAGTTGTACACTATATCTATTAAAACTATACCATGGATTTTATCATTGGGCATTGGTTGCATATCCAGACTCCATGGTAATATGCCGTTTTTCTTAACAACTATTCTGCACAGTAGATTAACCTACTTATTATGTCTAAAAGTATAAAAACATAAACTAGCAAAATATCTGATAGAATTCCGAAGTGACCCAAGAACTGTCCTACCAAAATTCGCAGAACTAATCTCTTGTCCAAAAAATCTCAATAGTAAGCCGATGAGTCAACATCAACACAACAAATATAAAATAACAGTAAAGAGGTGAAGCACAAAAGGTTTATACAGTATAAACCTGTGTACAAATTATACCCAAGCATGTGATCACTTCCGCTAGTGATGTGAACAAACACACAAACGCCGCAACACACCGCGGGACGGGTCGCAACACTAATGACATTTAAATAGGTAGTTGACCTCCGCGGTCACAACACGGGAACTCTGAGTAATCACCCAAGATACTTGCTGAGTACCCACTCCCGCGCATTTTCACTCACTACTCGCCTCCTATTGATTGTAGCGTGATGATTTGTACCCTAAACCTTCCTCTATAAATGGACTATTCAACACAAAAAAGAATTATTCAATTCGTCCCTGTACTTTTGAAGAATAATGAGTTCAAACAAATAAAGTTCTCAGTTTTACATAATACGTATATCAAGTATAGATAAGGCACAGCACATACATGTATACAGCCTCCTCGCCTGATAAATCTTTCGAAATATTTGACTAGTCAGCAACCTACTTAGACAACTTTACAGGTATGTACATAATTAAGTTAGGAATTGTTTTAGATAAGTAGTTAATGTTGTAACTTCATTTTATTAAGTAAAATATAATTAATTGAGTATTCCATGAAGTACCTATGTAATAGCTAAGGTTTAGCTAAGGTTTGTGTTATCTAATCTGTTAATATTGCAACTTAAAGTTTGTAAAGTGAAACTTAAGTATCAGATGTAAGTTTATAGGTAAACAAAGATTTAATACCATCCTATCGTAATAAATGTCTTTTTGTTTATATACACTGATATGTTTAACCGCCTTTAAAAATAAAAGTACCGGTGCCTATATTATTATGAGTGTACAAAAAACAAACAAGTAAACACCCGTGTGTGTGACTCACCGAGTCTCTGGTAAATACTAAGTAGCAGTTTGAAATTGTAACTACAATCCTTGCTAGTATCCATTTTACAAAGATATTGTCAACAGCACATGTAAACACTACGGGCAGTACCGGCTGCACGGGACCTCGGCTTAGTCCGAGAGTCAGTTAGCGACTGAAAACGTAAACGCAGCTAGTGCAATATGAAAGTATGAAAGTTATTACGTAAACAGACGCACGCTAACGCGCTCGCGTGCGTTAACGTTACGTTATTATTATGAGATATCACGAAACTATAGATTAATTTCCATAAAGACTTTTGTGTGTAATGTATTTATTGAACAACATGACTCAATGTTGTCGCTAGCTCCTAGTACTACATTGTAACTTAGTAATATATGTACATCGGAAGAAATAAGTAAATGACTTCGTTAGCTATCTACTGAAACTTATCGACCGTAACAATATTGAGGACCATTGCGAAGGTGACATCAAGTTATACAGTGTTATGTCGTCATCTAGTTCTGCGAAAGAAGAGCCCCACGAGGACGCAATATGTTGTGTATGTAGGAACTTTTAAAAACTATTCACTTTTTCGTATTTGTACTAGTACCTAGTATATATGTATATGTGTTGTGGTTCTACACATTTGTCCATGGGAAATTCGTTAATGGCTTGCTATGCCTCTCCGGGAATAAATTAAGGACCAATCCTTAGGATATAAACTTAAAATAGACGTGGATATTCCTACTCTAGATATAATATGACACGTTCATATTAACTCAGTGGTTTCTTCTACTATAGCCAATAATATTTCCAGCATTCCTTAATGGGAAATATTTCAAACTGCTTAACCCATAATTTCAATAGGTTATTGGAAACGTCTGTCCGACTTTACGAAGGTAACAATGTGCGTCTAGCAACAACTGACAATAATGTGCCGGCGTCGCGGGTCGCCTTGTACCGAGTGAACAATAGTCCGTGTTCTGTCGTGTTGCCATAGGGTTTCACTTTCTATTGTCAACACTTTGTCAATATTACAACAAAAAAATATCGTGAAAGGGAATTGTCCAATTTCTAGGGGACGTTGGCCACTCTTAAACAAACAGTTCAGCTAATAATATGTGTTTGATTTATTAGCTCAAATCAGTAAGAATGAGGATTTACAGCTAATTTTGTATCAAGATTTTTATCTAGATATTTTTTTAACATTGAATTGAAACAGGTTATGTATGAAATAAAACTTGTTTTATGCCAAGTTCAACGTAAATAGAAGGTTCGGGGTCCATGAAAGTGCCGGGGTCGTCAAGAAGAGAAGAATCGGAATCCATTACGAAAAAAAAAACTAGTATTCGGTATAAAACTCACAAAACAACACTCACGATGCAAATAAACAAAGCGAATGACAACTGTCATTTTGAATTCGACACAACATTTTTTAAGCATCGTGATGCCATATAAAAAACAATAATTGTATAACGATCTATTTGAAATCGATTATACTGCTATGAAATAAAATAGAAATAATGCATACAACATAAGTTTTATTATTTTTGAAGGTCCCTTATTAATTATATCGTTTCTTAGAATTTTTGGTTATGTTATTTAATGAAAACTATATTCAATACAGTAGGGATATTGCATTGTATTTTAAATCGATTTGAATTTGTTGGTTTATGGAGTTTTGATTTGGCAACACTGAAAACAAATCCGAAGCCGGTATAATGTGTAGCATCAAATCAAATACCATTTTTTTTAACAATTCCAACTGATACAAAGTTATTTGGACCAGATGTTTGCTAAAATGAAATTTAAAATATTGGTAAATTACTTTTTTGTATAGCATTGTGTACAAAAATGGCCAAGTTCGGACAATACCCTTTAAGCAATGTTGCAACAGTCTGAAACACTGGAGGTACGCTCCGTTTCCCTTCATTAGACCGACGCAAGCGCATTGATACTGTTGCCTCACTGCTCTTGTATAAGAACTTCTATAACTCTCACGGCTGATGTCAGTTTACAGAATACTTCAGGCAGTTACACTTTTACTGCATTTCATAACATAACGGATGATTTAATGACTACACTTCGAAGGATTCCGTTATAAAATGACTACAAATAAATTGTACCTCATCATCGCAACCTGATTTTTAAACTTCGAGCTTAATATAAACAGTAGTTACATTTTGTTGGTGATTTAAAATCTACTATGACATGCATCTATTCTATTGACAAAATACTGTGGTCAAGTCAAGGTTGTTCTGCGGTGATTCATTTCTAGTCCATCAACGAACAGTTACAAATGTAGTTTTATTATTAAATACTAGTGATGTCGATAGATACAGTTATAATTGTGTACTCACTGGCACTCTTGATGTATTTCTCTGTGAGTGACTTCACGGAGCTCTGCCTGACGGTCTTCTTGTCATCTGCCCTTTCTATCCTCCCCCGCCTCTCTTGCGTACTATCTCCCTTCTTCTCTACTTTCTCCACTCGCCGTTGCATCCTGTCCGACTTATCCTCTCTCCTATCTTTAGAACTGTCTATAATTTCTTCTCTTGCCTGTCTGCTCCTATCTCCTACGATCTCCTCTCTTCTGCTCTCAATGCGTCTGGTTTCTCCTACGATGTCTTCATGTCTAGTACTTCTCTCAGTGATGTCTTCGATCCTGGTGTCGGAGACGCGGCGGTCACTGTGAGTGAATTGGTCTATGGCGGCGCGATCTTCCCTCTACAGGAGATAAAGTAAATATTTGATCGTAAGATTAGATATTTGTATTTATTATTGTATAAGTGCATAGTTTGTATTTATTATTGTTGTTATCAGAATACTCGGAAGACATAGCCGGCATTCCTCAGATTGTGTATCATTTTAATTTTAGAAAAGGGAACACATTTGCATGACTACGAATTACGAATATATACTAAGGACTTTACTAGGATTTTAGAGGTAAAAACAGCCCAATTCAAATAAGTGATCATCTATACTGTAGAATAATATGATTCATACCATATTTACAACTGACAAAACATTGACATAACATTATTAGCTGTACTCAGTTTAGGAATGGTTGGTCAATAATACGATTAAAGTCATCGCATGACTGCTCTAACAAAACGATCAGGCGCTGTTTACAGTATGAATGCTCTGAATGTTTAGTCAGGCACTTACACCGTGTGCTTCCTTCAAGGTAGTGCCGGTGTCTCCTCCGAACTTCTTGGTGGTGGTGATGGCAGCGAGCCCGTGGATACGAGAGGGAGGCTCCCCCTGACCCTGCAGCAGACGCTCTAGGTCCTCGGGCTCCGTGGAGTAAGCCGTCACGGAGACTGTTCCCTCAGGTTCACCTCCATTACGGGAGTGATACTCCTGGCGGATCACCGTGCCCTTGACTGTATCAAAAGAAAATGAATACTTGTAAATATATGAATCTTATCGATAATATTTTCGCTTAAAGAAGTAAGTACATACATATTACGTTATAAACTTAATATGGGTCGACGGTAATACGACTGTGATGTTTACAATATGATTCATCAAGCAATAATTGGATCCTGAATGAAGAAGTTACAATTGCAACTAAATTACTTTCACAGATAGGTATTAGGTATAGTTTTTAATCTATGTTTACAGTAAGTTAGAGACAGTTTTCACACAAAGTAATCGAAGTACACATGTGAATGATACCGAAAGCAACTTTGTATGAAAGAAAATACGTTTATTCTCGGTGTTATGTATAAAATAGCAAATAGTGATGCATGAAGGGGGGCTAACCTTGTTTCTACACGTTAACACACTTATTTCACACAAGTTAATCGAAGCCGGAGGAGTAGACAATCTCACTTGTACGGTAACAGCAGTGTCACTGTATGCTCTATATCGGAGACACAAGCGTCACATTCAGCTGAGCCAACATTTGTTTTGTGAACAATTAATATGATTCAGATGTACATCGGTTCAGTAATTCTCAGTACTCAGTGTTATTGTACTACCTCTACAATAGTCAACAAGCAAGCTGACTGGAAATTAAAACCTAAAAAGTATGTGACGTCATGTATTTAGCTATAAATAATATACACAGTATAAAAATGTAGTTATCAAAATGCTTACCTTGGTAGTTAGAAGCGCCGTTCCTCAACGCCCTGATACCAAACAGCGGTTTGCCGTCCGCGTCCAGCGGCCCCGGCCCGTAGCTCGACGTGATCACGTCGATAGGTTTCGTGATCGCTTTAGAAGGACTGGCTGCTCTGTATTTTGGTTTCTCTTCAATTTTTTTACTACTGAATGTTCTAGTCTCCGAGCTAATCTTCTTGAGGTTCCTGTTCGTCACCCACGACGGCTTTTCTTCTTGGACTTGCTTTTGAGGTATTTTCTTCTCTATTTCGTAGACGGTTTTTATGATCGTTTCTTTTTTAACCGGTTCTGATCTTATTTGCTTTTGTGAAGGACTTGGCGTACGTTCATAAATTCGCTGTGGACTGTATGCCTTCCTTTCAGGACTCTGTCGCTTCTCTGGTGACGGAGACCTCTTATTGGTTCCATTCAGTTGGACCACCTCAATCACATCGTGAGACGCAACTTTGTCTGTGAAGCTCTTAGCAGTCGAGTATTCTTCCACAATCTTGTGTTCTGTGTGTTTCACTGTACGCTGCTTTTCTTCGGCTGTCTTCTTTGATTTTGCTTCGGCAAATCTGATCTTGTCCGCTTCACTCAAACCCACTTTCTTCATATAAGCTGATGCATATTCATTGAAACGGTTTGGCTTAGGTTTCGGTGCAGCACTTTTGCTAGGAGAACGGGTTCGAGACTTTTTGTCTGGGCTGGGTTGACGGACCGGACTCTTAGATTTTGGTACAGACTTAGAGGTGGGTTTTTCTGGACTATGTGGTCTCGGACGCCGGTCACTGAGAGCATGGTTTGGTTCCTTTGAGTGGCCGTTAAGTACTGGTTGCACTTGTTCTCTAGGCTGAGTGCGTTCCGGAATAGTTCTCTGAGGTGTTTTAGCGTGGCGGTCAGGAGAAGTGTCTTTATGTGGTGTAGCTTTTGGAGCATTCCGTTCTGGTGATCTCGTGTGTTGGCGCTCGGGGGACCTAAGCTTTTGAGTAGTCACAGTCTGTCTGGTAGTTTTAGTATACGTGTTAGTATCAGTGTGTTCAGATTCTTGCTTCTTCTTAGCAATGCGAATCTGGGATCTGATGCGTCGCCTCTGCTCGTAACCAACGACCTTTTCCAACTGAAAATTAGAATTAGTCAGTAAAAGTATAAATATAAAATGGAAACATAAATAATGATAATGAGCATGCAGATCTTGTGCTTACTGACCATTTGTTCCAGGAGGTCCAGGTCGAAGATATCTTCTATGCAGGGGTGTTCGACGCTGCGTCGCCGCTCGCTGCTTGCTGTCGACCTTTCCACACTAGTCCTTCGAAGCTCTATACCAAACTTTCCACTTCCACGTCGACTGCTGACTTCGGTATCCTCAACCACCTTCGTCTCTTCTTTGATTTGACTGGTCTTTGTGGGTCGAAGATATCCGGGAATTTTATCGGGCTTTTCAGTCTCTGGACGTTGTCTCGGAGATTCAGCTCGCTGAGAGAGAGGATATCGAGACACGACAGTTTTGGTAGTGGTTGTGGTTTCAATAGTCTGACGCATAGGAGATTTAGATCTTGGAACGTCTGGAGATTGGGCATTCAAACGGGATGGACTGCTGCGTGGTTTATCGTCATCTGATTGAGGATAACGTGGTCGAGTCATAGTACCACTAGTTGGACGATCCTTCTGTGGATGAATGTCTAAATCAGTTATATTAGGAGATTCATCCTCAGCAGAAGGATGTAAAACAGCAGTGGAGTCAGTTTTTGGAGATTTCTTTATTACACCGATATCGGTCAACTTGGTAGTTTTAACTTGAGAAGTTTCTTTTGGTTTTTGAGTTGTTGTTGCAATATTTTCAAACAGAGCCTTAGCTTTCTTCACAGCTTCACTACTACGGAGAGTAGTTATTTTAACAGTAGGCGTCCTTTCGTTAGGCTTGATGTTTGTGTTACTGTAGTCTTTAATTTTTGGAAGTGATGATGTAGTTTCTTTTTGCTTCATTTTCTCATCACGATGATTTGGCGAACTTTTGTCAGTTACATCTATATCTTCTGTGATTATAGTTCGTTCTATATCTTGCTCGTCATCGTCAACATCTGTAACAATTTTCCGCATAATCTTTTCATGTTGTTCCTTAATTTTTTTATCCTTTTCTTCGACCTCATGCGATTCAGTCAAGAATTGCTCTGCTGTTTTAACAAATTTATGGACTTTGTCAGAAACGCTAAGCAAACAGTCATCGCTCTTTAAGGAGTCATCAACGTTACTCAAGTCAGGTCGTTCTACTCGTTGAGGAGTTGGTTTAACTTTCGGGATCTTAACATTTTCTGCGGTTTCTACGAACAAGTGTGCTTTGTCATGTACACTAAGTTTGGTGTAATCATCTTGATACACAGTATTTTTATCGTACTCATCTGTGACCCTGCGTGATGGACTCTTACTCTCCCTTGTATCCTTTGGTCCTTTGGCAAACTTGTTAACTTTCTCTGACACTGATAGCAAACACTCATCAGACTTCAACTTATCGTCAATAAAATCAGAATGAACTCGTTTTTCAGTCTCTTTGAAGATCGTGGTAGTATCCTTTGACTTGTTTATTGTATCAACACCTTTTGTAAACCTCGAGACCTTGTCTGTTACGCTAAGGAGACTTTCGTCTTCCTCTGTGAAGACTCCAACGTCGGTTTTTCTTACAAACAGTTCGTCATCTTCACAAATTTCAACGATATCATCAACAATAGACTCAGCTTCGTGGATTGTGTGATGTGTTCTCCTGCGGAATTCATCATCAGGCTCACTTACTTCGTCAGGATAACGCGGAGTACCTATATCCTCTGTAAAGTTGACCGGTGTAGGACAGATGCGATCTGGTGAATTCTCTCGAGATGACTTGGATTGCTCCACATCAACAATAATATCATCTTCATCAGTAGAAGTATTTAATGTTGTAGCTGATTTAGGTTTGGTTGGCAGTTTTGAATGTGGTTCTTTAATAGATTTTTTTGTGTTTAATGTTGATTTAGTCGACATATCACTCACTTGTATTTCTGGTTTTGACTTCATCCTCTGAGGTGATATTTTATTTGTCTTTATAGTGAGGTCGCTGCTAGTGCGCGTAACCTTTGTATCGTTTTCTTTCCTAGTCGGAATTGTGCTTTCTCTAATGCCTTTCGGAGTTGGAACCCGCCTTGTCTCGGGCTCATTGGGACGACCTGTTGGAGATGGAATAGACTTTGTTGTAGTTTTACTTGCGTTTGTTGTCCGAGTGAAACTATTTTGTTTTGTAACAGAGCTTGTATTAGTGGTCTTCTTTACTTCAGTCACAGTCTTGTCTACTTTATTGACATGTAGAGTAGCAGGAGTTGGTTTCCTAGTCAAATGCGAAGGTATCTGTTCTTTAGGCTTAATTCCACTAGGTTTCGAAATCTGTGGTGATTGTGACCTTTCCGTTGAAAAGACAGGCTTTTTGGGTGAAACACTTCTAGTTTTGGTTGGAGAATCTGGGCTCTTGTCTACTTTAGAAGGTGTAGCGAGTCCTGACGGTTTTTTAGTAGGAGAAACCGTCCTAGTTGTTTGTTTGGTAGGCACTTTCTGATCTTTTGGTTTTTCATCTTGGGGTTTTACAGGACGAGTATATTTTTTTGTGACTGTGCATTTCTCTGTAATTTCAGTGAAATCCTCAGATACAGATTCATCATCTGTTTCTGTATGTGTAGTTATATTAATGTCATGCAAGCTGCTCGTGGTTTTACCAAGGCTCTTCTCTCGGCTAGGTGACCGTTCTTTGCGCTCTGGTGATAGTTTCCTGATTGATTTCTGGACTCTATCAATAATTTCCTGATCCTTCTCAGACGTAATGAAATCTGTACTTATTTCTGTAACTTGGGTGGTTTTCTTTGTTGGTGAAGGCGTACGAAGTTGTCTTTGTTCTTCGGGTTGTTGCAAATGACCAGGTTGGAATTTTGACGGTTCATGAGAAGTGTGGTGTGTTGGTGATTCGGTGGATCTTGGCAGTGGATGCCTTTCTCCGACATTTGTGATAATAATTTCTTCTGTAGTAGATGTCATTTTCAAGTTAGATGATGTCTTGTGACTTGGTTTTCTATCGGGGCTAGAGCTTGGACGATGTGGAATTTGCCGAGTTGTATTATGATCAGATATTTTTGTTGGGCTGCCTTTTGGTATAGAAGGTTTATTCATTGAAATATCAGAATTACGGTTGATAGGCAATTCTTTGATAGGACTTTCAGGAGTAGGCTTGGAACTATCCAAAGGCTTAGAATCATGTCTCGTAGGGGAAATGCTGGAACGTTGTCGAATGGTTTGATCTTCTTCGGTGATTTGTGTCGTAGTGGTATTTTTAATATCTTTTGAGGTGGTTGTGGTGCCTAAGTAATTGGAATCTTTTTCATCCGTAAGTATTACTGGTTTTCTTACTGGAGATGTTTCCTTAGGAATCCTTTCTCTTGTATGTCTATCAGGACTAGCTCGAGTTGAAATATCGTCATGTCTGGGAATGCTGTTTGGATATTGTTTGTGAGGTTTAATTGGTGCACTATCAATTGTAATAGAAGACGTTTCCACATGATCTTCCGACACTCTCCGAATGCTTGCAGAGGTTTTTCTCATGTAGCCAGGAGTATCCGGGCTTGGCTTAGAAGGAGAATTTTCTCGAGGTTTTCTATCTGCCGGCTCTGGGTATCGCTGCTTGCGATCAGGACTTTCATTTTTCGTGTATGATTTGTTTTCTGTGGGTTGCTTAGATGGTGAAAGCGGTCGGGGATGACGCGCTCGTTCAACAGTCTCTGTCGAGTGACTTTCCGTGATATCTTTAGTCATTGCCAAGGTGTTCTGTTTATGAACGTGAGATGAAGTCGTCTTTACATACCCAGGTGTTTTTTCTGAACTAGGTTTTATTCTGGTTGGTGATGGTTCTTTTTTATGAAAGTCTTGCTTTTCAGGACTTGTCTTTTTTGGCGTGATTTCATCTTTTGATGGCTTACGCTGGGGACTCCTATCAGCAGGTTCGGTAGGTCTAGGTGGGGAACCAGTACGAGTATAATCTTTTGGTTCAGTAGTTTTCCTAGTAGGTGACCCTGGTGAACGATGTGTGTCATGTTTTTCTGTTGTTTTGAGTGACATTTTTTTTTCTATATCCGTTGATACTACATCTGATTTTGATGTAGCAGATTTGGTAGTTTTCGTATAACTGGGCACTTTTTCAGGCTCCGTCTGGGAGTCATCACTTGGATATTTATCAGCATAGCTTTTCTCTGGGCTGTATCTAAGACTTGACGGCTTTTCTCGGCTGTCTGTCTTCCTATCTGGACTGCGATTTGTATATGTAGGATGTAACGGAGTATCGTTTGCAGATTTCGGACTCTTTTGTGTAGGTAATTCAGTTTCACGTAGACTTTTTTTAGTTTTAACTGTGTCAGTCGTAACATTTTCTTGCAAATCCACAGCTGAAGTGATGTCGTACTCAGTCACAGAAGTTACAGTTGTCCTATGGCCAGTTCTAGACGGAGATGATTCTTTTAATTTTTTCTCAGGGCTTGCTCTGATAGAAGGTTTATCGTGACTGACTTTGCGGTCTGGACTTTCATCAGAAGGATGGAAGGATGAAGGATGTTTCGTTGGAGTATCATTTATAATCTGAGGCATTTGACGTGTAGGTAAATCTGAAAACTCTTCTAAATCCTCAACGGTAGACGTGGAGTCGTATTCTACTACCATAGAGTTGGTCGTTTTTGTATAATTAGGTCTGGAAGGTGATTTTTCTTTTGGGTATTCCTCATAATCTGGATTCGTTTTGATTTGAATATTTTTATGGACGCTTGGTTTGCGTTCTGGGCTCTTATCTGATGGTTGTCCGGGTTTCGATGGTTTATTTGACACAATTTTTCTCGTCGGTGACTCTGAGGAGCGAGTTGGTATCTTTTCTTTAGCCGAAATGTCATATTTAGTTCTAACAGTTGATGTGGTTTCGATAAAGTCCTGAGTTACAGAAATCGAGTCTGTCGGGTGTCTATCTTCAGGTTTATTAGTAGTTGGTTCTAATCTCGGTTTTTTATCAGGGCTCAATCTAGTTGTAATAGTCTCATTAACTCCTGAATTATCATCAAACGACATCGGCGATTTTCGTTCAGGACTTTGTCTAGGAGAAAGAACTTTTTTGGTACTAAGTGTTTTTACTTCTTTCGTATCTTTAATTGTAACATCACCCTTCAGAACATTTTTCTCTGTAGTTATAATATCTTGAAGCTTGGTTGGGGAGGTGTCTCTAGGCGTTTTAGTTTTTTTGTCGACTAACTTGTCAACATGGGTAGTAGTCATCTGTACAATATTGTGTTGTTCCTGAGTTATGAAATCAGTGACATCGGTTTTGGTTTTAGTGATTTTCTTTACTGATGGGTATTCGAAGGGAGTTTCTTTTAGGGCAGGGCTACGACAAGGAGAAAAGCTAGGGGAACTCAAGTTTGTTTCCGGTTCCTTCAAGTAAGAAGTTTTCTTGGTAGTGACAGTTGTAGTGGTATCATCCATCATACCAAGGATCTTGCGACAGCGATCTTCATATGTTTCTCTGCGTTCTAGTGGTGGTTTTTGTTTGCTAGTGGGCGCGTCAGACTCAGGGGTTTCTGGATGGTCTTTTTTCACTATTTTATGATCAGGGAATTCTTTCGAATCGTCCGTTGGTGATACACTAAAACTAGATGGTGGCTTTTCGATTGGAGACGCTTGGGTTATTTCAGTTGTAGGTTTCTTTAAGGAGCTTTTTCTTGGCAGAGACTCCTTTGGCGGAGACACGCGCTTTTCCGGAGAAGGTGACCTACAAGGTATCTTAGTGGGAGATTGAGGTCTATTCACACTGAGACTTTCAGGTCTCTTATATGTAGTAGTGATTTTATCTACTACGTTCGTTTCCGAATAAATTTCTTGATCATCTAAGTCTGTAACAACAGTTTTTTCGTTTCGCGGAGAACTGAAGTATACGAATCCACTAACTGAAGTAGTTGGAGAGCTTTGACCAGTTGATGGCTCTGTGTCAGTTGGTTTAGGTTTCCTAGTAGGGCTCGAAGATGGAGTAATCAATCGCCTCGGATGTTCTTTAGTGACGGTTTTATTTATCTCTTCGGTCTTTTGTTCTGTAGATATAAAGTCAGCAGTATGTTTATATTTTGAATCTTTGGTCGGAGATTTTACCGGAGATACACTATTGCGAGGTATCTTCTTTGTTGGGGAACTTGGTTGACTCTGCGTTTTCTTCGGAGACTTCTCACGACGTGTCAATGAATCGTATTTGTTGTCTTCAGTTGTTACTGCACTCCTAGCAACCTCGGTGTCGTCATCATCATATGGTTTTTTCTTATCATAAGTTCCATATTTTGGAGGAGATGGATCTCTAGGCGATTTTTTATCGGTACAACGATCTTTATCTTTCGAAGCCGGATACTTTATAGTTGTTTCTTCATTTGTTGTTGTTGTTATATCGACTCGGTTATATTGGTTGGTAGATGTGATATGGTCCTTAGGTGAAGGAGATCTGTTCCTGAACGGTGAGACGTCATTGAATTCAGGAGTGTCTTTAGTAGGACTCTTTTTTGAGAGTGTCTCTTTGGGTGTCGGTCGTTCAGGACGTGACGGCGAGTGCTTTGAATCATGAATTTCAGTTTTTTCAGTACGAGTATACATTTTCGTTTCCTCGTCAATGAACTTATAATGATCTTCTTGAACTTTTGTTATCGTCTTCGAATTATTTTGGGGTTTACGTTCTGGACTCTGTGAAGGTACTTGTTTTGTTGGTGATGTTCTACCTTTCAAGTTGTCTGATGGTCTGCTGGCAGAAGTTGGTCTCATGTAACCCGGTTTTCTATCAGGACTTACACTTCCTCTTTTAGGTGAAATATCATCAGTGGCAGGACTGGTTGACTGAGGTTTGCGATCGGGACTTTCTCTCATCTCATCCGGCCTTACATTACTTTCCGAAGGATGAGGCCGAGAAGGTGAAGTATTTCTGGGTAAATCGGAGGTAGAGCCCGGCTGACCGCCATAAGGATGTTTGCGTTCTGGAATTTGACCTGGTTTAGTGAACTTATCCTTAGGGGTATTCTCTGGATGTGCTGGAGAATTATCACGATTTAGAGGACGAGTTGGTGAACTGCTCCTTGGATAGTTATCAGTGAGAATTGCTTTGTGTGGCGGCTTGCTTTCGGGGCTCGCTCGTGGTCGCGTCGGAGATTCATCACGATCCAGAGGACGAGACGGTTTCCTCTCAGGGCTCGCTCGTGGTCGCGTTGGAGATTCATTACGATCCAAAGGATGGGTTGGGGAACTGGCACTAGGATATTTATCAGTTGGAGTTGCTTTCTGAGACGTTTTCCTCTCAGGGCTCGCTCGTGGACGCGTTGGAGATTCATTACGATCCAGAGGACGGGTTGGGGAACTAGCACTAGGATATTTATCAGTTGGAGTTGCTTTCTGAGACGTTTTCCTCTCAGGGCTCGCTCGTGGACGCGTTGGAGAATCATTACGATCCAGAGGACGGGTTGGGGAACTAGCACTAGGATATTTATCAGTTGGAGTTGCTTTCTGAGACGGTTTCCTCTCAGGGCTCGCTCGTGGTCGCAAAAATTCATCATGATCTACAGGACGAGACGATTTCCTCTCGGGGCTCGCTCGTGGTCGTATTGGAGATTCATCACGATCCAGAGGACGGGTTGGGGAACTGGCACTAGGATATTTATCAGTTGGAGTTGCTTTCTGAGACGGTTTCCTCTCAGGGCTCGCTCGTGGTCGCGTTGGAGATTCATCACGATCCAGAGGTCGGATTGGGCAACTGGCACTAGGATATTTATCAGTTGGAGTTGCTTTTTGTGGCAGTTTTTTCTCGGGGCTCTCTCGTGGTTGTGTTGGAGATTCATCACGATCCAGTGGACGAGATGGGGAAATGGTTCTAGAATAGTTATCAGTGGGAGATGCTCTATGTGTTGGTTTCCTATCTGGGCTAACACTGGGTTTAAAAGACAAATTTTGAGGCCGTTTATCCGGGCTTACGCTTGGTCTCTGACGATGGTCTTGAGGTTTTCGCTCGGGGCTATAACCAGGCCTGGTTGGAGAACGTCCAGTTGGAGGTCGTTTGTCTTCAGAGGTCGTGTTTTTGTGCGTTTTAATTTCAGTTACAGAATATGTGGAATGTGTTGTGGAATCTTTGTCAACCACTGTGCGAGTAGGTGACGACCTATCAATTTTGCTGGGACTTCCACCGCGGCTTGATGGCTTTCTGGTTATTTTATCAGGGCTTAAACTGCTCCTTAAAGACGACGTACTCGACTTAAAAGTTTTACTTCCCGGAGATGACGCCCGGGTCGATGGTCGTGTTGTAGTAGGAGTATCAGCGCGCAGTGTGCTGGCCCACGCCTGGTGGGACGGACTCCAATCATTACTGATTTTCTTTTGAGGAAAATCAGTTTGATATGTGGTTTGGTAACGATCAGTGCTAGTTTTCCTCTCTACGGTTTCTTCTACTTTGTTCTCTCTCTTAATGTGATGGATCTTCTCTTCAATATTTCTAGTTTCTTGATGTATGTAATCTTTTGGTTGAAGTGGACGATTATCATTATGCTTTATAATATCTTGATTATCATCACGTGGTTTCGTTGTTTCAGGGTGATCACGACGTGGTGTAAATGACTCAGGATGTTCCTTTTGTGGCGCCAGGGCGTCTGGACGGTCCCTACGCGGTGTTGACGTATCAGTTTTAGTATCACGCGTTACTGTTTCACGTTGGTCGTTGGTAACGTATTGGCGGTGGTGGGTTTGATTCGTACGTTGCTGGCGTTGGACGTAATCATTATTATCAGTAACTTCTTGAGTAACTTTAGTCACGTGACGAGTTGTTTGTGAGTAGTTGTCGTCAAGGTTGGAATGATCCACAACTTTTTTGTTTATTTTAGTTTCGTAACGTTTTACATCCGAATAGTTTTCATCGTCTTTTGTGTAATCTGCAATTTGTTTTTTGAAATCATAATCATCGACATTCCTTTGAGAATCCACGATGTCAGTAACGCGGTTATCTGTTACGCGTTGAGTTGTTTTCGAGGTTTCTTTGATGTCAGATCGTTGTTGAGTGGAATAGGACTTATTTTCCCTTACTTGGTAAGATTGCTCAGAACGTGTGCTTTGTACCGGGGCCCGAAATTCTCTCTTGGTGCTAGTTACACGAGTTCCATCAGGCAGGCACCGCGTCTCTACAATCACTCTGGTGTTGTCATCAGGGTAGTCGATCTTTCTAGATACAAGCTCTCCGGTCTCGTAATCATTTCTACTCACATTTTGTTCGTAGTTATTCTTCTTCACGCTATGCTCATAATTGTTCTTCGTGATAGTTTGTTCGCAATCATTTTTGTTAACATGCTGCTGGTGCTCATTGTTTCTCACATTTTGTTCGTAATCATTGTTCGTGCTTTGATCGTAGTCATTAGTTCTTACAATTTGTCTTCTTGTTACAGAGGACACGTCCTCATTACGGTTAGTATCGTAACTTCGTAGGTCATAGTCGTCGTTAGTCAAATATGGCACAGTGTCATGTCTTGTTGAAGACATCTGCTGGAACTTGGAGGAAGACGTGGAAGAGCTGGTGGTGGACGAAATTTGAGTCCCGTCGTCAGTGTTGCGCACGACATACTCGCGCGCCGCTGTGTTGGACGAGGTCTGGTTCCGCTTCAAGCTGCTGTGGTCGTCGTGGTACTCCGTGACAGCTTCCTTATGGTGGTCAACGGCCGCAAACTGGCCTTTGCCACCGTCCACGTCGTACCGGCCCTCGATGTTAGCGTGCACGGACTTGACATGCGTGTGCCCGTCGTCTGTGGTCTTGTTCTCCGACTCCACATTCCAGCCGGCGTTCGACAGCGCCTTCAGATCTGTAAAAAAAATAATTTAATATCTGAGCACAAACTGCGCACACCGTTACCGGTTAATAAGCGTTAGTTCTGTTAAGGTTAAGTTATGGTTTCATAGTGCAGACACCTTGGCCGCGGTACGTGAACTCCTTGGGTGGGGAGCCAGCGTCACGGACCTCCTTGCTCTTCATTGACTGGAAGGTCTGGTCCGCGAATGACTTGACGTGGCCCTGCGCAGCACTGAACTCACTACCTGTTGAATTCGGGCACATTTGCGCTAACTTGTGGTCTTTTAGAAGAAAAGTACTACATATATGTAGCGCAGTGAAAACAAGAAATATTATGGTGTTCAAATTTACCTATGACGTAATACTTGAGATACAATATAAAGCGAGTCACTAAACATGTGACGTCAGATATGATATACATAAGTACTGTGGTATAACTTTAACAGTACGTTACAAAACTAAATCGAGATGAATAATGTCACCAAATTGCATTGAAGCTGTTTCGTCTCACATAAACAATACTTTGTCTAGTGGTGCAGCCCCACTGAACAAGAGGCACTGTTGGTACCTGCAAAAGTATTCAGTATTGAATTGAACGAGAGTTGACGTTACCTTTCCCATCTCTGGTGGGTTCGGGCGAGTACAAGTCCCGCAGCCGTTCCTCCCGCAGTCGGTACATGTGCGCTCGGATCTCTTTCTTGCGAGAGAAGTCTTCAGTCTGCTGCCACTGGAATCATTAGATGAATAATGTTAGAAAAATATTACAAAACAATGATTTGTCATATAAAAATATATATATTCTTATTTTTTAACGTTGCTCTACATAAGGATTGTCTCCTGTGTCGTGTGTGCGTTTATAAACATACAAGTTCACATACACATGATACCCAAACCCGGAACCACAATCTGTGGATCACACAAAGAGTTGTTCGATACGGGAATCGAACCCGCGACATGTTGCGCAGCAGCTGGTTGCCCAGCCACCGCACCAACCGTGCATTTGAATTTAGACATTTTCTAAATTGCTACTAGTGGTCTGAAATAATAATATTGTATGCATTAATAAATATTCTTGGTTCTAATAATTCACAATAACAAGACGAAAGGTATAAAAACGCCTTTCTCTTTATACATAGACAATGTTTGTTGAAAAACATTGCTATGAGTTTCCGCCAGGCGCACGGTTCGTGGCGTATCTATTGTTATTAGTGCTTGGTACGTATAGTTATTTATGAATTACTGTAAATATAGCAAAGGATGTCTTACCATGCGGCGCAGTAAATCTTCGTCGCGGATCAACGACACGTCGCCTTCTGACATTCTGGAAATAACAAAAACATTCAGTTTAAATTAATGACAGCTATTCATCAATGATCGTATATTATTATTGGACAGATGAACAGCTGTTTACATGTAGATAATATCATAATAGTTAACTTTAATTTGAATTAATCAAATCAATTTGGCAATAGAATGGGAATTAACCAAAGAATTAACAGTTGTATTTTTACAATTTTGTGCTTTTACGAATTATGATTATTAACATTGAAATAATCTATTGATTGTGACGGTAACCAATAGCAAGCGAGCAGAGATCTGTCTAAACACAATCAAATTCCTAGCAATTAACTAGTTAGTACTGTCATTGAAAAGTATCCAATCGCAGATTGTGTATTGTTTTAATACGGACACCAACTAATCTTATTAGATTAGTTGGTTTGTGTCATCTATTGGATGCATGCATGTCATCCTATTGGATTACAATGGTAAACATCGCTAGAATATGTTCAGTTCCATCTATCTTAATGAATATGAACAAAGGTATTTCAAAATAGACAATAACTGACTGACATAAGGTAAACCATTCTCTCGGCGCCTGCGCAATGTTGGTCCTATCGATCCTGTATCTCTCGACCTATTGATATTTGTTCCTAAACTGGAAGCACTTCGTGATCGGAACGATGACATTCTATTCAAGGAGTCACAAACTCACAATATACTAGGTGCATATACTAGGTGCACTATGTCTGACAACATGGTTGTAACCTTACTTAGGCTTAATCAAGAAACCAAAATGAAATGCTTTAAAAGAGCTGTCCTCGACCAAACCTTAATGAAAAGTAATTAATTAATCTACGGCTGCCATGGCATCTACAGTCTACAAATAACTGAACTGTTGGGTACACAGATTATGATCTGTAGACTAATGTAGTTAGTTTACTCGAGTCGGTCGACTGCCGCGTGCTTTCAACCGAAAAAATAGCTTTTCTGTAAAATACACGTTTTAAGACCCTCAACCTAACCACACAATGACCCGAACCATATGTACGAACACTCCATGCAAATCATTCCAACCCGTAGTACGTACACATCAACATATATATCTTTATATAATATGTATTTGTGTATGTGTAACGATATATCAATTACTACTGAAGTGATCGCTAAATGAAGTGGTATGAATCTCGGCGCAGTCACTATGGTCACGGTAACGCATGCGCGGTGCAATTGGCGGACCTTGAGGACACAATTAGTGGCTGCGGCGGCACGTCACTCACTCATTGCCGGATTTATGGAGCACTTTGAGGAATTAATGAATGTAATGCCATGGATGCATAAAGATGTAAAACATAGCATAAGAACTTCTATTCATCGAAAGAATTAAAGGACATTCCACTAATTTTCGTTACCTAGACTTTGGTATTGGCTAATAAGCAAATACTTAAACGAGAATACAAATGACTTGCGCACAAATGTCATGTAACTTTGACACGACACATAGCGACATATACGACACATAGAACATTTGTCGGAGCTAGAACATTTGTCGTGAGCCATCTGTCAGCTCAGCCTCGATCCTTGCGCCATATGGCCACTAGCCCAAAGAGCTGCCATATAAGGGCAACACACACTCGCTACCCCGGCGCCCTTGTCCCTCTTACACCATCTTATAAGGAGACAAAAACAAGAATAAGTTCGTATTGAAGTATTTTATTTCATTTTTAGTAACGTGTCCCACTTACTGAGGTCAGTCGCCAGTTCTTGATGTTAATTATGTTGGTAATCCTTTTAATTACAAGATATCTGATACCTTTTGCAATGTTACGTATATGGGATTCTAATAATGTTTAAAACACCAACACCGTGACTACTACCTACGTATAAGTACTCTGAATACAAAACAATGAAACGAGAGAATCTGCGATCCGCGTCTTAATAATTCCGTGAAATTATAAAGAGTTATTCGCAGCTGCGAGAAATGCATGACTAAATAAACCGGCCGCGGCTGCAGGCTCCAGGAATGCCAGGCCCGAGGTACCTGTACCAAGTCTGCGGATCATAGATCTGAGTTCCGTTTAGTGAAACATTCCAGATTGTTTCCACCTTGTAGTCAAAACAGAAGTGTCTCAATAAGCCATGATGTCACCTAATGGCCGTCGAGCTGTCACCGCCGATTGGTCCAATAAGTAGCCCCAAACTAATGGCTCGTGATAAACGAGTGCAGCCGTCGGCCTGCACTAGTGTTGTAACACTAAAAGTGACATGTAATGGGTTTAAGTTAATGGGGAATGATAGATGTTCCGTTTGTTCCATTTTACTAAGTATGCGATGTGCTCAATGTGCTCCAACCTGACTGGCGATATATTCTATAAACTCCGCATCACAGAGAAGAGACCAAGGTTACCAAAGTAAGTTCTTAAACAGTTTGGATATGGAATATTTTGTAAAATTCTTAAATGGGGACAGAAATATCACAGTTAGGTATAACATCAGTTCGTAACTTCTAATATGGAAGCACAATCGCTACATTATATCTTTAAGCCACGATTTTCGCAAAATAATATGATGTAATAAATGTCTAGTAAGCCGAGTACAGGTGTATGACAATAGCGCGGTGGCGGTGTAGTTCTTTGGCCAGTAAGGCACGTCCCGAAAGGTCACAGGACTCAGGTAGGGCGCACTCCGGCGCAGGCCGCGGCCGGTCCTGTGAACCTGCTAGTGACTCATGCACGTGCGCATACATCACAAAATTGTAAAGGGAAAGGGTTCGCAATATAAATGTTCAACGCGAATTCGTTTTGAATCTACTATGAGTATACTGGACTTGCAGTAAAGTAAACAACAACTCGTAGCATTAAATTTTCCTCAAAGACGCATATAAATTGGTATTTAGGTGTCTTATTCTGTCCTGTACCTACGTAACTTGTATAGCAATATCACCTGTAGGTTAAATTCTAGATGAATCGGATGTATTCTGTCATATGTTTGAGCATAATGAAGAAAAATAAAATACCTTCTCAGGATGATGTCACCGGCGCGTCGTGACGGACCTATTCCATTTATATTAGATGTGTTAATCACTATTCATTGATCATTTCTTAACCTATTAGAACGTCAGGAGTTAGAACGCCTAGCTCCTTTTAAATTGTGGTATTTCCCATAAAACATAACTATAACGTCACAGGACCGAGGGCCCAGGTAGGGCATCAATTCGGTGGCGCCCGCGCAACTTGACTGTGACTATGACTCATGCGCAAACAGATCGGGAATAAGTGAAATGCCTTCACGATGAGCGACTCAGTGAGGACGACGAATATTTCGAATGTCAGGCAGTATGTTTTATAAACACTGTTATTGTGATCACTCACCCACACACGCGCCACACAAATATTTTAACACCTTTTTGTGTTCTGTATAATAATAATACATATTATTTATATAACGCAGGTATATCATAACTGAAGAAAATATTTTAAGAATGAAGTAAAAATATTATATCTTACAATTAAATGTTTATTTAATTACTAGCTTCTGCCAGCAGCTTCGCCCACGGCCGCGTGTGATAAAAAGTGGCCTTTAGGTTAATCCAGACCACAACCTACCCCTGTTCCAATTTCCATCTCGATCTCTTCAGCTGTTTTGGCGTTAAAGAGTACGCACGAACTTACACACACACATACATCCTCACAAACTTTTGCATTCATAATTTTACTAGGATTTATAAGCGTGACATAATGAATTCCAACTTGTTTTCAAGACTTTCGATACGACTTTTCAGAAGAAAGATTTCAGATAATTGGTTTATGACAGGGATTTGTCTCCCCTTATGCTGACATAGTCTTTGAGCACAAATACGAGTAACACGGTGATATAATGGAAGGCGAACGACATTAAGTTACGACAAATGAATATTAATACACGAACAGGTTACACTTGTATAACTAATCGACCATATACAATAACTAAATAACACGAGGATTAAACTTTTTGCCGAATATAGATAACAAGAAAAAGTATTGAACAACAAGTCATAAATGTCAAACTTTATTTAGTGTATTAAGTCACCGATACAAAAACTAAGTAAAGCTCATTATGTGGATGGTTCTCAACAATCCCAAAAAGTTACGGGAATTATTTTGGAAGTCTGTTTACATCCACCAACTCATAATGCCCATCGCTGAGCAAAACCTCTTTTCACACGGACAAGGTTTGAGCATTAATCACCACACTAGCTTATTGCGGGTTGGCGATTTGAAACTTATGTTAAGAAAATATAAGCCCAGGTTTACGATGATTTCAGGTATTCATTTTTGACACTAGAGGGTACATAAACACCGTAAACTAATACAAGGAAGGGAAAGCTCCATTAGAAGTTGTTACAGTTAACTGGTAAAGTAAACGAAATGGTAGATAGACTCTTGATGGTGGAGAAAGACCATAGAGAGAAACTCCACATCACTATGGAGAGCACAGCCCCGTGAGAACGTCACCTGGTTCACGTCTCATCTCACATCCGGTAGCGACAGTACAACACCTTCACCAGTTTGCGCAGAAACTGACAAATGTGCGCACACGCAGCCTGAGCTGACTGACAATTCTGCGCATACGCAATGAATCGATCAGGTGTTGAGAGTGAAAGCATTGTAGATGTTGGTAAACTTAAAGGTTGAGGATGTTTGTGTGGCAATTATTAGAGAGAGAGAGAGAGAGAGAGGACATATATGGATCAAATTTTTTAAATGAATAAGAATATTGATTGGTGACTTAATTCACATTAAATAAAACCTGACAAACGATACTTGTGTTGTGATAGAATACAATCACAGTAATACTATTTGTCTCGTTGCAATGAAGTAGTTGAACAGTTAAGTAAGATAATTTATTGCCAAAAACATTAACAGCAATCATCAATTAAAGGCAAGAACGTCCTCGTTATTGTTTATCATTTCAAAAAATGAATATTAACTATCTGTTCAGAAATGAAACCTAGTCTCCATCGCTTGGCATTCACAGTTATTTATAAATCACGATTGTATGTAA